GGATGAGCTTGCTGTAGGAAAACTGGCAATACATACCAAAAGTCACATGTATATAGAACTTGACTAGTCATTTACATCCAAGAATTCAGCCTGGATGTGAAACAGACAAAGATACACTCAGCTCTGGCCAGTGCTCAGTTGTTGAAGTGTAGTCCCACACATGGAGCACATAAGGGAGGCAAGCAATTGATGTTTCTTTCTTTCCCCTAATTTTGTCTCTAAAATAAATTTTTTTAAAACATACCCTCACATGAGGATTTTTTTAAAAAAAGACAGACAGGTATCACCATGTAGCCACTATAGTCAGAAAATTCTGGCTGGATACACTAATTAGAAAACATCCACACATGGGTGGTGAACACACAATACAGTGTACAGATGATATGTTGTATAAATGAACACATGACACCATTATAATTTTGTTAACCAGTGTCACCCCAATAAATTCAATAAAAATGAAAATATTTTTTTAAATCAATCTTTATTGTTCATATTATTACAAAGGTTCCTCATTTCTTCCCCCCTCCACCAGGTTCCCACCCCACCCTCCACCCCCTCCCCATCCCCCATTGTCCTCATCCATAGGTGCACAGTTTATGTTCAGTCTCTTCCTCCCTCCCTTTCCCCGATAGTAAATCCCTTTTCAGATAGTAAATCAGTTACATAGCATTTTCTTATATCAATAATACCACCACATGCCCAATGATACATTTCACACAAAAGACATTTCCAAATAGGTCAACCAGCCTCATCCAGGCTCCACCCAAGGCACTCACAGATCAACACCCCAGCCCTATACTAACTCAACACATCCAGATTTAAGCCTTCATCACTTGATTCAGCAGACCCTCAAGTTCCCGCAAAAGTTTCCAACCATGTCTGAGAGGCAGCCGTGGGGCAGGGGCAGGCAAGGAGCGAGCTGTTCCGGGCCTGGATGCTCTGGGCCTGGCCTCTGTTGCTCTGGTTCGTTCCACAACCAGCTGCTCCAGGTCTGGTCACTGCCGCTCCCGACCTAGTTACTCTGGACTTGGCTGCTGCTGGTCCGGGGCCGGCTGCACCCGACCCAGCTGCTCGGGGCCTGGCCGCTCCGTCTGGCAACCACTGCTCCGGGCCTGGTTGCACCCGGCCCGGCTGCTCCGGGCCTGGCCACTCCCAGTCTGGCAGCTGCTGCTCCGGGCCTAGCCACTCCCAGCCTGGCAGCTGCTGCTCCGGGCCTGGCCGCACCCGACCTGGCTGCTCTGGGCCCGGCTGTACCGGGCCCGGCAGTTCTGGGCCTGGCCGCTCCCAGCCTGGCAGCCGCTGCTCCGGGCCTGGCCGCACAAGACCCGGGTGCTCCGGGCCTGGCCGTTCCCAGCCTGGCAACCGCTGCCCTGAGCCTGGCCACACCAGAACCAGCTGCTCCGGGCCTGGCCACTCCCAGCCTGGAAGCTGCTGCTCCGGGCCTGGCCACACCCGACCCAGCTGCTCTGGGCCCAGCTGCCCCGGCCTGGCCACTCCAAGCCTAGCTGCTCCTGGCCTGGATGCTCCGGGCTTGGCTACTGCTGTTCTGGGCCTGGCTGCTCCCAACCCAGCTGCTCTGGGCCCGGCTTCTCCGGGCCTGGCCACTCCAGGTCTGGGTGTTCCTGGACTGGCCACCCTGGGCTTGACCGTCTCCGCCTCAGGCCTGGCTGCCACTGCCCCAGGTCTGGCTGCTCCAGTGCTGGCTGTTGATGCTCTGGTTCTGGCTGCTGCTGCTCTGGGGCCTGGCCGTTGCTGCTCTGGGCCCGGCTGCCACTGCCTTGTGCCTGTCCACTCTAGGCCTGGCCGCCGCTGTTCCAACATTCTGTCCTTTTTTTTTTCTTTTTTTTTAACGCATTTATGTTGCAATGTTGGCTGGTGAGTTGAGTTCTGACTTAGTCTTTGATTTTTCAAGACCTTCTTTGTATTCTTTCTTAAGTAATGTTACTATCTTTTACTCTCACTTGATTTCTTCACATTGAGAACTTCTTTGTTTCCTTCCTCCTTGTCCTGGGAGCTCAGCAGGTTGGCCTGTGGCACCCCTTTGTTCTCCGCGGGCTCCTGCGCTGCTTCAGCCTGTTGCCGGGGTCGGCGCCGCCCAGGAAGCAGCCCCCAGCCTTGGCTCCGTTGCCAGCGCTCAGCGGTCAAAGGCTCAGGGGCACCCCACCCCCTGGGGGCCCCGTCGCCCGGCTCCTTGCTGGTGCCCGGCTGGCCGGCGTCTGGCAGGGGCTCCTGCTCCCCGTCGCGTACCTCCAGTCTGGAGCTTTTTTTTTCTCCTTCCCCGCTAGGGGAGTCTAGCATCAGAGTCAACAGACTGTCCTCTGCGCACAGTGTGCGCGACTCTGGGGGCTCCGCTTTTCGCTGCTCCCCTGGGATTCCACCTCACAGCCCCGTCTCCCCCTGCCTGAGCCTGGGTCCCCAGGGTCTGGCATAGGACTGGGGTTCAGAGCAGTCGAAACTGGGGCCCAACATGGCTGGGGCTCCTGTTTCCTTCCCTCCAGGGCAATCCCGCATCAGAGTCAACATTCCTTCCCTTGCAAGCAATGTGCGTGACTCCGGGGGCTCGGCCTTTCGCTGCTCTCCCAGGACTCCACCTCACAGCCCTGTCTCCCTCTGCTTGAGCTTGGGTCCCCAGGGATTGGCCTAGAACTGGGGTTCAGAGCAGTCCGGACTGAGGCTCAGCGCCTCCAGAGGCTTTGTTTCTTCCAGCTAGGGTAATCCAGCATCAGAGTCAACATTCAGTCCTCTGCATGCAATGTGCACACAACTCCGGGGGCCCTGCTTTTCGCTGCTCCCCTGGGATTCCGCCTCACAGCCCCATCTCCCCCTGCCGGAGCCTGGGTCCCCAGGGTCAGGCCCATAACTGGGATTCAGCGCTGCCAGTTCGGGGGTTCAGCCCAGGCTGGGGGTTTTATTTCCTTCCTGCTAGGGAATGCCAGGCAGCACCCAGCCCTCTCCTCCTCTCCGGCTGCGACCTCTCCTCGCGCGCGCGTGCATTTGAGCGCGCAGCATGTCTCCATACCTTAGGCTTTTTTTCAGCTCCTCTGATTTTCCTTCTGGTTTTCTCTTTCCTTCTTGTTGTAGAATTTTCAGTCAGTCGACTATCTGTAGCTCTGGGCGATGTCCACTCTACATTTTAGTTGTATTCCATTGAAATTGTTGTGTGCTGCTGCAGTTAGATGTCTACCCGAGCAGCCATCTTGGATCCTCTCCCCTAAAAATGAAAATATTTTTAAATAAATCTTTATTGTTCAGATTATTACAGATGCTCCTCTTTTTTCACCCCAAAGCTCCCCTCCACCTGATCCCCACCACCACTGTTTTCATCCATAGGTGTAATATTTTTGTCCAATCTCTTCCCACACTCCTCACACCCTCTTCCCCCCAAAGAATTGTCAGTCCACTCCCTTTCAATGTCCCTGATTCTATTATATTCACCAGTTTATTCTGTTCATCAAATTTTTATTCACTTGATTTTTAGATTCACTTATTGATAGATATGTATTTGTTGTCACTTGGTTGTTCACAATTTTTATCTTTACCTTTCTCTTCTTCTTCCTCTTCTTTTTTTATTTATTTTTATTTTTTTATTAAATTATTATCTGTGTACATATTTTAACATTGCCCTTCCTCCCATACATACCCTTCCTCCCCAGAGTTTTGTGTCCATTGGTTGTACTTATATGCATGTATACAAGCCCTTTGGTTGATCTATTATCTCCCCTAGATCTCCCTACCCTATCTGCTGTAATTTGACAGTCTACTTGTTGCTTTACTGTCTCTATATCTATCTTTTGGTTCATCAGTTTATAATGTTCTTTATTATCAATAAATGAGTGAGGTCATGTGGTGTTTCTCTTTCATTGACTGGCTTATTTCACTCAGCATGATGTTCTCCAATTCCATCTAGGTTGCTGCAAATGATGAGAATTCCTTTTTTATGGCAGCATAGTATTCCATTGTGTAGATGTGCCATAGTTTTTTGATCCAATCATCTGCTGACGGGCACCTAGGCTGTTTCCAGATTCTAACTATTGTAGATTGTGCTGCTATGAACATAGGGGTGCATATATCCTTTCTGATTGGTGTTTCTAGTTTCTTGGGATATATTCCTAGGAGTGGGATTACTGGGTCAAATGGGAGTTCCATTTTCAGTTTTTTGAGGAAACTCCACACTGTACTCCACAGTGGTTGCACCAGTCTGTATTCCCACCAGCAGTGCACAAGGGTTCCTTTTTCTTCGCAACCTCACTAACACTTGTCGTTTGTTGATTTGTTGATGTTGGCCATTCTGACAGGTGTGAGATGGTACCACATTGTTGTTTTGATTTGCATCTCTCGAATAATTAGTGACTTTGACCATGTTTTCATGTGCCTTTTGGCCTTCCTTCTGTCTTCTTTTGAAAATATTCTATTTATGTCCATTGCCCATTTTTTAATTGGATCATTCATCTTCCTTTTATTTATTTATTATTATTTTTTTAAGAATTTTTTTTAATTGATTTTAAAGATGGGAAGGGCCATCTTCCTTTTATTTAGTTGTATAAGCTGTTTGTAGATGTTGGAGATTAAACCCTTATCAGTGGTAACATTTGCAAATATGTTCTCCCACACAGTGGGCTTTCTTGTTGTTTTGTTGATAGTTTCTTTTGCTGTAAAAAAGCTTTTTATTTTGATGTAGTTCCATTTGTTTATTTTCTCATTAGCTTCCATTTCCCTAGGGGCAATATCAGTGAAGAAGTTTTTTGGCATATTCTTCTGTTGAAGAAGTTCTTTTGGCATATGCCTGTGGATGCTTCTAGTATTTTTATGGTTTCCCGTCTGATGTTTAAGTCTTGTATCCATTTTGAGTTTATTTTTGTGTATGGTGTAAGTTGGTGATCTAGTTTCATTCTTTTGCATGTATCTGTCCAATTTTCCCAACATCATTTATTGAAGAGACTGTCTTGACTCCATTGTATATTCGTGCCTCCTTTGTCAAATATTAATTGAGCATAGTGATTTGGGTTGATATCTGGGTTCTCAATTCTATTCCATTGATCTATATGTCTGTTCTTGTGCCAGTACCAGGCTGTTTTGAGAACAGTGGCTTTGTATACAGCTTGAAATCTGTTATTGAGATCCCTCCTACCTTACTCTTCTTTCTCAGGATTGCTGTGGCTATTTGGGGTCTTTTATTGTTCCAAATGAACTTTTGGAGAGTTCTTTCTTTCTATGCCGTTGGTATTTTAATGGGAAGTGCCTTGAACCTATAGATTGCTTTAGGAAGTATGGACATTTTGATGATGTTGATTCTACCAATCCATGAACATGGCATGTTCTTCCATCTGTTTACATCTTCCTCTATCTCTTTTTTCAGTGTCGTGCAGTTTTCCGCAAATAGGTCCTTAACTTCCTTAGTTAAATTTATTCCTAGGAATCTTAATTTTTTTGGTGCGATGGTAAATGGGATTGCTTTTTTAGTCTCTGTTTCTGTAGTTTCACTATTGGTGTATAGAAATGCCATGGATTTCTTGGTGTTAATTTTGTATCCTGCTACATTACCAAATTCATTTATTAAGTCAATTAGTTTTTTAATGGGGTCTTTTGGGGTTTTTATGTACAATATCATGTCATCTGCAAATAAGGATAGTTTTACTTCTTCTTTTCCAATTTGAAAGCCTTTTATTTCCTCTTCTTGTCTAATTGCAATGGCTAGTACTTCCAGTACTATGTCAAACAGGAGTGGCGAGAGTGGGCATCCCTGTCTTGTTCCTGTTCTTAGAAGGAATGGTTTTAGTTTTTGCCCATTGAGTATGATGTTGGCTGTGGGTTTATCATATATAGCTTTTATTATGTTGAGGTATGATCCTTGTACTCCCACCTTGTTGAGAGTTTTATCAGGAAAGGGTCTTGGATTTTATCAAATGCTTTTTCTGCATCAATTGATATGACTATATGACTTTTATCTTTCAATTTGTTTATGTGATGTATCACGTTTATTGATTTGAGGAATATTGTACCATCCTTGCATTCCTGTAATAAATCCTACTTGGTCATGGTGTATGATCTTTGTGATGTTCTGCTGGAGCCAATTTGCTAGAATTTTGTTGAGGATTTTGGCATCTATGTTCATGAGGGATATTGGCCTGTAATTCTCTTTCATTGAGTTGTCTTCATCTGATTTTGGTATTAGGGTGATGCTGGCTTCATAGAAGGAGTTTGGAAGTGTTCCTTCCTCTTGAATTTTTAGGAATAGTCTAAGTAGGATAGGTTTTAGTTTTTCCTTGAATGTTTGGTAAATTCTTCCTCTTCTTAAAGAATTCCTTTCAGCATTTTATATAATCGTGGTTTGGTGATTATGAACTCCTTTAGGTTTTTCTTATCTGTGAAGCTCTTTATCTGACCTTCAATTCTCAATGATAGCTTTTCTGACAGAAACCAGTATGGCGTGGATAGAGCATCAGCCTGCGAACTGAAGGGTCCCGGGTTTGATTCCGGTCAAGGGCATGTACCTTGGTTGTGGGTACATCCCCAGTGGGGGGTGTACAAGAGGCAGCTGATTGATGATTCTCTCCCATCAATGTTTCTAACTCTCTATCCCTTTCTCTTCCTCTCTGTAAAAACTCAATAAAATATTTTTTAAAATAATAATAAAATTAAAAATAAAATAAATGGTAGCTTTTCTGGGTAATCTTGCTTGTAGGTTCTTGTTGTTCATCTCTTTGAATATTTCTTGCCACTCCCTCCTGGCCTGCATAGTTTCTGTTGAGAAATCAGCTGACAGTCTATGGATACTCCCTCGTAGGTAGTTAACTGTTTTTCTCTTGCTGCTTTCAAGATTCTCTCCTTGTCTTTTGCCCTTGGCATTTTAATTATGATATGCCTTGGTGTGGTCCTCTTTTGATTCCTTTTTTGGAGGGATTCTGTGCACTTCCTGAACTTGTAAGTCTATTTCTTTCACCAGGTAGGGAAAGTTTTCTGTCATTATTTCTTCTAATAGGTTTTCAATATCTTGCTCTCTCTCTTTTTCTGGCACCTTCATAATTTGGATGTCAGTATGCTTAAAGTTGTCCCAGAGGCTATTTTCATATTTTTGGATTCTTTTTTCTTTTTGCTTGTCTGGTTGGGTGGTTTTTGTTTCCTCATATTTCAAATCTTAGGTTTGATTCTTGGGGTCCTTTGGTCTTTATTTCAGACAGTATATGCTTAATTTCTGACTGGTCCTTTTCCATTTTTTTGGCATTCTCATTAAGGTCCTCGAAGTCTCACTAAGTTTCTCAGAGGTTTCTAGAAGATTCTTGAGTAACCTTTTAACTGTGGTTTTGAATTCTATGTACAGTAGTTTGCTTTCCTCCATTTTATTCATGAGATGTTTCTTTGTTTCCACATTTTGGCTCCTTCCCTGTGTTGATGGAGTGGCTTTGTGTGGTAGGTAACCTATAGGGACCATTGATTCAGCCTCCCCAATCCCCTGAGATGGACACTCTTGGTGCACCCCTTTGTGGGCTGTATGCACAGTCATGTTGTAGTTAAGCCTCAATTGCTATTGGTACACTGTGAGGAATTGACCTCCAGGCCAATTGGCTGTGAGGAACCACTATGTCTATAATGGAAGAACTGCTGTGCCTGGAGACACCCTTCTGAGGCAGGACTTGTTTCAGTGGAGCTTTGGTGCTCACTAAGTCTGCCTCTTGAGTGTGTCACTTATGGATGTGAGGAGTTAAAATCTGGAGTCATCTCACACTGACCATTAGGTACACTGGCTCCTGGATCTCCAAGAAGGTGCAGGTCAGCTACTTCTGAGACTACCCAGCAGGAGCTATTGGGAGATCTGCAGATTTCTCCTCTTTGCTTGGGGTTTGGAAGTTTTGGAGCTGTCTGACCAGAGCTGCAGTTTGTTAGGTTAAGCTGAGATTCATATGCAAAAGCTACTGCACACAGTTTGGGTGGATTTGTAAATTTAGCTGGGCGAGGTCTCAGGGAATCACTAGGTGTGGAAAACAGCGATGGCTGCCAGTCAGCCATCTTTGTGTTCCCATGTTCCCATATTCCCAAGTTCCCACATACTGCTCCTCAGTGCAGTAAACAATGATTCCTGCATACACTTCTGCAAGAAAGCCACCCTCAATTTCCCACCCGATGGCAATCAGCATCTCCCTGTAGGAGTCTGGGTCCCCAGAGTCTTGCCAGAAACTGGAGTTCAGAGCAGTCAGGAGCTTGTATCTCCCTTCAGAATTAAAAACAAACAGCGCACCCAGTCACCAGCCACCAGCCCGATGTATGTACCTCCATACCTCTGCTTTTCCATGCTTGTGCACATCCTAGGCAGTCTCAATGCTCTTTTCTCTTTCCTTTTAGTTGTAGAACCTCTACTCAGCCAGCTTTCCTGTGATTCTGGGTGATAGATATTTTATCTTTTAGTTGTAGTTTTGGTGTGGTTGTGAGAGGCAGTTCATACGTGTATACCTTATGCCGCCATCTTGGTTTCTCCAGGAAAGTGTGTGTTTTTTTTTAAAAAGAAGATACCCACTCCATAATGCTGCCTGAAAAATCACAAACTGCAAGGTGCATGAGTGAAATGACTTTTTTTTAAGGAAAAACTCTCTCACACATAGTCATGCATATATATTTACATACTTACTTTAAAAAAAAATAACTGTAAAAATATTTCCCAAGCTTTAAATGGAGTTACCTCCAGTAAAGGTGATCAAGAGAGAGTTGGCAATGTGTGAAGAGAAAGTTTAATTTTCTTCTTTATAAAACTGATTTATTGTTGCAAACCACAATGGTAGTGTAGGTACACACTGCCTTCCATAACCACATCAAAATTACAACTAAAAGAGAACTCTGATAACCGAGGATCAAAAAATAAATAAAAATTTAAAAAAAATAAAGTAGTCTGCATAGAGGCTAGTAGGCGGGGCAGAAACACAAAAGGGCTGGCCCAGCTCCCACAGCAACTGAAGTTCCAGAGAGATATCTCAGCTGTGGGGGGTTGCCACTGAGAACTCTGGTGTCTAATCCTCATGCTGGATCCCCCAGAAGAGAGCGCCAGAACTGCAAAGGGTACCCACATAACATCTGGCTGTGAAAAGCAGCAGTGCTGCTATCTACCAGGGAGAGATGGCTAGAAATTCAGGCATCTCTTAAAGGGCCAATGCACAAAATTCCTTGTGTAGCCACCACCTTGTGCTCCAGCAGAGGGAGGGCTATGTGGACTTAAGCTGTGTGAGCAGAATCCAGGATCAGGAGCTCCAGGGTTAGAGCTCAGAAGGCAGACACCAGTTTCCTGAACTGAGTCATCCCCTCACACTGCAGCAGTTATATTTCTCAAGCAGACATTTGCTATATAGGCAACCTTGCCTAGGTGGAAGACAGTTGATTCACCCTAATAGAAAATATCTTGTCCCACAGTGCAGAGTTGCTCAGTCCCATTAAGAGACTATAATTAGCCTCCACCCTGTTGAAAAAATTCTTGCCACACCTGTGGATGCTTGCCTGAGGGCAATTCAAGACAAAATTATATCAGTCTGTAGATAGAGGTAGTCTCTGGAGGTTTTGAAACTTTGCCTGACTTAATTAGTCAGAAACAACATTTGACATTGCCCTGCAATAGAGATTGAGGGGCATAGCACATCTACCTAATACATAGTCACAAATCCAAACAAGCATACAAAATGAGGAGACCATGGAGAAAATGGCGGAAGAATAGTCAGATGGGTTCTGAGCCTGGTCCCAAAGCAGAAAGAGAGAGCAGCTGAGGGTCGTGCTGGAAGTGTTCGTTAGCAAGCTAAGGGATAGGTGAACTCTAGAAGAAGGTGGGGGACTGCTGGATAGGGTTCCCTTGACAGGGCAGCCCCCACGGCGGCTGGGTCCCTTCCCGGAGCTACGGGCTTGGACAGGGAAATCTTGCCATCTTGAAAAGAAAAGTGGATCTAGGCCTGAATATCCACAGCTGTGGCGACCGCCTAGCAGTTGTGAGTCCCAGAACACCAGTCCCAGGTGGTGCAAATGCTTGGACCTTTTCAGCTGCTGCCCCAATGCTGGAGCTCAGAGGGAGTAAGTCCAGGTAAATCCATGTATGGGTCCTTTTAGAACTGCACTCCAGAAGCCCTCTGTCTCCCTCATAACCCCACTCGTTTTTACAGCCAGAATTTATGGGGACTTCTCTTTTTGGCACAAGAACCCTGGGCTGTGGGGACTGGTGTGGGGTTGGGACCCCTTGCTCTTCAGGGGAAACCTCTGCAGCTGACATCAGGGAACCCCTGATTTTTGCACACCAGGTGCATGTGAGACTGTTCTGCATCTCCACCCCTCCCACCACCAGGCCCAAAATGGCTTCTTCAATTCCTTAGCTGTAGGACTCCAGGCAGCTCAATTTCAGGCAGTTTTGAATAATGATTGTTCTATTGTTTAGTTTTAAATTTTATGTGGTTTAGGGAGAGGAGTAGTATATTTACCTACGCTGCCATCTTGACCGGAAGTCTGGTATTTGCTTTTCTAATCTAAGACTTTCACATCTGCCAACATTGACATTCACTTTAAATGCAAAGCAGTATTATTCTAAAGCTTGAAATGATAAATTTCTATAGATAAGTATCTTTTTAACTATGATGTGCATGTTCTACTAAAGACTTAAAAAGGTAGATTTTTAAAAAGAGAGAGAGAGAGAGACCTAACTTAACAGATCAACACAGCTGATGAACAGAGGTCCAAATAGCTAATGTGGTTTTCCAAAAGCTCAAGTCTTTTCATTAGTGGAAGAATTCAGATGAGAACTGATTCCACCAATTCAGGGTTTTTCCATGACACAATGCTGCAGTGTTTTGGTGAGAATCACTGAAACCACAATAAAAATAGCATTTTAAGAAATGTACAACAAAATGGCAAATGGACAAACTTTGCATGTAGCATCATGGTGAACTATTAAAATATTAAGTTCCACTCTCAAAATGCCATTGGCCTTTCTGAGGATTTTATTTAGAGAAATTATTAGGTTGGTCCTAGAAGGATACTTGTTTTTATTTTAGTAGTAACACAATTGAAAGCTTAAATGAAAACATCTGTTTTCACTTTCTTTACTGGTTATGATAGCTAAAGATTCTGAGACATCCAGCATGACTGTCATTTATTTGATATGCAAATATATTTCTTGGGTTGAGTGTAAATCTCATACTCTTGATTTTGTCCTTTCTAGCTAATTGTTTTTTATATTCCCTCCTGGGTCTAAAAAAAGGTTAAGGTAGAGTTAGTCATTAAGAAATACATCCTTCCCACAAAATGACTACAGGCACAATTCCCAAAAAAAGTAAACTTAATGAATTAGAATCCACATCACTGGGATAATTGTCAATTCTGCTTTTTTCCACCCTTCCCCAAAGGTTCTGATCCAAATTCAAGGATGAAAGGCCAAATAGATGGAAAGGGGAACCAGGAAGAAAGCAACCACATGGCAGAGGGATCAATTTCTATAGCAGTTATAAAGCAAATCCATTTATTAAGAGCCAGGTACTGGGCTAAGTGATACTCAAAGTTTACCAGGGTCAGATGATAAAGTTGGAGTTGTTCTCATGGGATCAGACCCTCCAGAACTGTTCTCATACTACCTCACACACACACACGCACGCACGCACGCACGCACACACACCCCAAAATGTCCATAGCTCTGAACCCTCTCATTAATCAAATAAGTTTGATATAACAGAGTATTAGACACTTTCACTCTTGCTAATGTTTTGATTTTGTGTACCTCAAAGCCAAATAAATAATTCTGGATCTCAAAAATGAACTATTTCTGGGAATTGTTGCAATACATCCTCATACTTAAAGGGACTTAGGCCTATCTTTTCCTCATAGGGCATCATACTCTTCTAGTAGGGATTTGTGCATATATTCACTGACATTTGCTGGATATCAAATTGTGACTATGTATACATGTCAGGCAACGGAACATCTCAGTTTTTATTTCCCCGGGCCTAGATATAAGGCTGATAATTCTATCTGAACCAGCAAGAGGCACTGATGAGAGAACCCAGTTAAGGAGGTACAAATATATACCTTTCCACAGTCAAGTATCATAGTGTCACTTCATAATATTCCTAAATTTGAGGTGGAGAAGACCAATTTTAGAATATTCCTTCATTTATTTAAGCAAACAGATTAAATCATTAGGAAAAAGGAAAAAGTAACCCACAAATCACAATTAATTACTTTCACTTTTTTTTAAACAGATAAGTAAACTAGTCAGTTCATATAGCTCTCAAAATTTTTTTTAATATATTTTATTGATTTTGTACAGAGAGGAAGGGAGAGAGATAGAGACCCAGAAACATCGATGAGAGAGAGCCATCGATCAGCTGCCTCTTGCACACCCCCTACTGGGGATATGCCCGCAACCAAGGTACATGCCCTTGACCGGAATCGAACCCGGGACCCTTCAGTCCCCAAGCCAACGCTCTATCCATTGAGCCAAACCGGTCCCCGCAGCTCTCAAATTTTTTAAAATATGTTCTGCAATATACTTTTATGAAATAAGGGCAAACAACGTGCATTCATATTATACTTGCAGCAGGATATTCAAATAGGCAACTGCCAGGTTATAACATTAAATTTGTATCCATTAAGCCCAGTCCCACACTTTCATGTCCAATACTGCATAGTGACAATTGTTTATAATCTATTGAAATTCACAGTAGTCACTGTAATATCTTAAAATGCCTACTAATAAATCAACTAGACTAAATTCTATTTAGTATAGTCATACTAATTAATATATCTCATATCTTTTCTCATGTTTTAATTTATTTTAAACTGGAAAGCCATATATGATAATAGAGTCCAATTAGTCCAAAATAGTCCAATCCTGAACATTTAAAACCACACCTATTTTACTTACTACAGATATGGTAAGTAAAACAGAAAAAGAGACAGAAGGAAGCTATAAATACTGCACTGTTTCGTTATTTGATAATATGAAAGATCTAGGTATGTCCAAGTTTTTACGTCAGTCCAGATCTGGAATCATCCCTAAATAAACACAAACTATTTTCCAAGTGCAGAAATCAAGCTGTTTTTTTCTCATTCTAGCTTCTTGAATATTCTGACTACTGCCCTTCACCACACTTACATGTTCACCATTTGGGATATTGCAGGGGAGGGAGAGAAAGGAGAATTTTCATGACTTCTGAAACTGGAAAGAGGAATTAAGTACTGAGAAGGAGAAAGAGAATGACTATTGAGTAAATATTGTTGCTTAGTTATTTTTTAAAAGATATACTGAGTTTTATTAGCCATTTATTTCTTTATCTAATTTATAAAAAATGAAACTATAATGTAATGAAGCTTGTTCAACATGCAAAAAGGCTTTGACTCTAACACCTGACCCCCTCCACCCCTGCCCCTGCTTCCTGAAAATCTTAGCTTGAGTGATTGGGGCCTTACCCTTGTCCTTAAATACCAAGTAACCTAACCGCTAAAATGAGTAGCCTAACACAGCTGAACTGGGAAAAACACCAAGTGGAAATTTATCCCCCTAGGAAAAATAAGTAAAATATATATTAAGGAATGGGTAATTTGAGAACCAGAATATTTAAATAAATTACCAGATGTTTGAGCTGCTATCTGAACTTTTTTTTTAAAGGAAATAGCTTTTCATTACTTCATGAACCCTCCCATTATGAAGATGAACTCAAAACCCCCAACATTCAACAGAGAAAGCCTGTTTTCAGAGTTGTCAGGTTCCTGCTGTGTCTCAGGGACCAAGAACCCACAGAAAAAGCTCAGGACTGGAAACATGTTTGAATTTGACCTCCAACCCTTGAGTCTGTGTTTATATAATTTATTAAGATGGACTTATGAAGCTCAAATAAAACCATATTTTACATTTCCCCAATCAGTATTTCAACAGCCCATTTTAACAGTAAGAGCATATATAGGATGGGCATAAATCCCCGACATCACACACCTTTCCTGGAAAGCTCTACCTCTGTCAGTGCCAGTGAATGTGGTAAAAAATCAAGCTGAAAACGTCCCAATGTGCACAATCAGCTTCATGATTTTCATGGTCTAGAGTAAAAAAAATTCTAAAGCAATTTTCACCCAATTTGGCTTGCCTTTCTTGCCTGTAAATTACAATACTGCCAAGTTACAAATTAAAGATTCTGCCAGCTTTTCAGTCTTGTAAGCAAAGAAAAGAAGGTCAGCGTATTTTCCCTAAATGGGTAAAGTGTGTTTGTGTGTATGTTGAGTTCATACTTGGCTATAGTAGTATACTATAACAACATATGGAACTCTTGTTTAAAATTTCCAAAATAACGCACACACACGCGTGCACACACATACTCACTTTGAATATAGATCATTAAAAAAAAAAAAAAAGTCAAACCCAGATTGAACTGAGAGGGACTAGGAAAGATAGTGTTAGCTACAAATGCTAATATACATAGTCATTATTGCTGTAATTTAATTTAGGCAGAATAATTTACAACCCTTCTAGATCTTTATTCTAATGTGACTCATTTCACAAATGTGATCAAATGACTAATTTCAGCCTCCACAAAAATAAATTTAACATCTAGAAAAGTTCCCAAGCAATTTACAGCCCAAGATAGACTCAGTTCAGACGTGATGGTGGTCATGGTGGCAGAGGTTTGTCTAGGGTAATGTCTCATTTAGGCCCAGGATGAAGCTCTGAAGTCAACACGGAAATGCTCAGAATGCCCTGTGGGCACTAAGAGCAGCTGCCATGGAGCCAGCTCTACAGCTTCCTTAGACATGGGTGCTTTTGAGGAAAAAAATTTTTTTTGCTTTTTTTTTTTTTTTTTTTTTTTGCTTTTTACCCATCTCCCCACTCCATCCTCTTTGGCAATCATCAACTTGTTCTCTGTATCTATGGGTCTGTAAAAAAACAAAATATAAAGATAGATTTTTAATTGTAAATTCTAGAAAATATCTACACTCAGGTCTAAAAGCATCTCTTCCTTCCTAAAGCTAGGAAAGGAATGTGTTCACTGTCAAATAACCAATACTGATCATAATCAGAATGTCATTGCAGACAAAGAGTAAAACTCCGTTGTGCAAAGCAAGAATTTGAATACATCGTCAGCAAGAGTCTATCTTGGTACAACCATTCCAGAAAGCAATATGGCCTTATATGTCAAAGCCTTAAAAAATACACATACCTTAAATACTGAGACACAGACACACACAAAGATTAAAGAGTATTAATGTCCTATTGTTCATAAGATTGGAAAAAATAAAAAATAACCCAAATGTTCAACAATAAGAAATTTGTTTGACAAAATGTGATACACCTTTCCATATATTGTGATACAAAAAAAATTTATATCACGTTATAGAACAATATTTAGTAAAAGAAAATATTCATGTATACTATTTAGTGATAAAAGCAAGATATTGGTAACAGCATTCTCTCAGGAAAAATAATTTTATTTCCTTCTTTGTACTTATTGTATTTTTCAAAATTCTACAATGAAATTATCTGTGATTCTTTTTTTTTAAATATATTTTATTGATTTTTTACAGAGAGGAAGAGAGAGGGATAGAGAGTTAGAAACACCGGTGAGAGAGAATCATCTATCAGCTGCCTCTTGCATACCCCCTACTGGGGATGTGCCCGCAACCAAGGTACATGCCCTTGACCGGAATCGAACCCGGGACCCTTCTGTCCGCAGGCTGATGCTCTATCCACTGAGCCAAACCGGTTTCGGCTATCTGTGATTCTTAAAATGAAATCTTTTCTTCCTTTTTATCCTATACTACCACCATCTCCCCCATCCCCAACACACACACACACACACACACACACACACAAGCAGCCTGGATTTTCCTGATTTCACTTGGGTTCTTTTCCTGATGAAATCAAATGGAAATAGTTCCAGAGTAAATTGGACCATAAAAGCCAAATACTTACGGTACTAACTTTATATCTTAAAAAAAGGCAAACAAGACCATAAGTGGCTAAGGGAATTTGGTGATGAAAATGAGCCATTAAATGGATTATTTATCTTGGTCTTTACTGATAAAAATATTAGCAAGGTTTTTGTTCCTTGGCTATATTTTGAAGTAAAAATTATATCATTTCACTAACTTATTCATCCAGTCATTGTCTTAGCTCATTTGGGCTGCTATAACAGAATACCATAGACCGGGTAACTTATAAACAACAGAGATTTATTTCTCACAGTTTTGGAGGCTGGGAAGTCTAAGATTCTGGTACCAGCAAATTTGGTGTCTGGTGAGGGCCAGCTTCCTGGTTCACAGATAGAAATATTTTCACTGCACTCTCACCTGGTGGAAGAGGTGAGGGAGCTCTCTGGAGTCTCTTTTGTAAGGGCACTAACACCACACATGAGGGCTCCACCCTCATAATTATCACCTTCCAAAGACTTAATCTCCAAAACATCATCACTCTTCGGATTAGCTTTCAATTTATGACCTGGGGGGGTTGGGGGGAGGGGAAAGACACACACATTCAATCCATGGTAGTCATCAAATACTGTGCATATCTTATGTGCCTACATGGTGCCAGGCCTGGAACACAAAAAAGACAAGCTTAGTCTCTGGCTCAAATCCCTCATAGACTGCTAACAGCATGGCTGGCTGTATAGTGGTTTTCTGGGCTCCCAGTTTTTCTTCATCCATCCTCTTCTTTAGCCTCAACAGTTCTTCTTTATATGTTAGCCTTTCGTTAAAGTTTCCTTTGAATAAAAGATTCCTTGCACGAAACCGGTTTGGCTCAGTGGATAGAGCATTGGCCTGCAGACTGAGAGGTCTCGGGTTCGATTCCGGTCAAGGGCATGTACCTTGGTTGTGGTGGGGGGTATGCAAGAGGCAGCTGATCGATGCTTCTCTCTCATCGATGTTTCTAACTCTCTATCCCTCTCTCTTCCTCTCTGTAAAAAAAAAAAAAAAAAAAAAAAAAAAAAAAAAAAAAAAAGATTCCTTGGCTCAAAAACATTTTGGACTCTTCTGAACTCTTATTTAATTAATTAGATAATCTGGAATTGAGTGACATCCTCTAACAGTTTTAAAAGAACTCATGTATAAAACTATTAGCAAAATGCTTCCCCCACCCATATAATGTGTTATAATTTATGTCATCTATGTCTGTCTTGAAGATTTCCTGCTAATCTTTCTCACTCCTTAGCTCACCAACTTCCCTTAGTGGGTTTACATTCTTAACCTTTGCTGGTAGATTATAACCACATCCTTGTCCCCACTATCAGGGGTCAGGGGGCTATTTTTCTTTAGGCCACTTTACTATAATCAAAGGTCAAGCTCTTTTCCCAAATTCTAGTCTCAGCAGGCTTCTTAAGTACTACTAGAGGACTTGTTTAAAATACTAGTAGTCAGGCTTCACCCCCAGAAAATTTGATTCTGCAAGAATTGAACTGCTATTCTGTTTTTAACAGCTGTCTCTTAGCTTGACAAACACTTTTAGGAGGCAAAGCTTCTAGCTTAGGTGAGGGAGGCTCAGAGTGTTGTTAGTTCCCAAGAAACCTCAGCCCCTATTGTCACACATTTCCATAATTTCCCTGTCTGTATGTCTCTTTCACCCACTTTTGGACAAGGGACTTGCGCCCTAATTTCTTATCTACAGCTCTGTAATTCTATCATGTCCATTAAATATTTGGTATTAAGTTAAGTAATAAAGTAAAGAACAACAGTTATTCATCAAATTCTAATCCTACTGAACTAGAAGGCTTTTTTCATCAATAGATCATTATAGTAAACCCGTTGTTAGGACTCATGTTTTTTCTCCTGTAAGATTAAATTAAGCTAAACTATTAGAAACAGCTTTTAAAAATAAAATTTTATACTGCTTTTGGGTTTTAAGATTGCTCCATGCAGTAAACAGGATAAGAATACTTGAGGAAAGAGACCAAAGAGGAATAAAATAAGTACAATTTTTAGTTTTTGCATAGTCAAGGATACAGTGTAGCATAGTGAAAAAGCATAAGCTTTATTGCTGGGTTTGAAATGGTGCTCTGCCATTTACTGCTGTGTGATCTTGACCAAGTTATTTAAATTTTCTGAGCCTCCTTTTTTTGTGCATGTTCTGTGTATAAAGGGACAGACAGGCTTGTATGGAGGATTAAATGAGTCTAGGAGAGTGTTTGCCACATAGTGGGAGCTTGAGCAAGCATTGTTTTACTTCCTTCCTTATATACTTTCCATAGAAAACTCAGTTTATCTTGATCAATGTTATAACCTTAGTACACAGCACTGTATCTGATAAGTAGTATGTGTCCAAAAGATAGTTATTAAACTAATTGACTAATTAATGGAACTCTAAGGCTTAGAAACAAAAAACTTTCCTTTTACATATCAAATGTTATCATTCTATAAAATTATAATATTATTATAATCCCTTCATAGATGGTCTGACAAGTCATCTTCAGTCAAAACTAAGGAAAGTGACCTAAAGACTACACACTAGAAAAATCAAACATTTACATTTAAATGTAAGACTATACACACATGTTTCTCTGTAAAGTAAAACAAAACTAATATCTCTTTATTCTGAAAATGTTCTAGCAAGCAAAGGATGGTAAAGAGAAATTAACCAAAATGTGTGAATTCAATTTGAATAAAACATTCTTGGTGTTCTTACTGTGATCTCTTAATTTTTATAGATACTATAAATTCACACAATCCCATTTTTTCCACCAGGATTTAAAGTCCTCGAATGTCAATTCCATTAATATAAGTATCCTTTTTAGGATCATTACCCTCTGGACTGGGAAGAGAGTCCATGAGAAGAGTGAAGAGAACACAGACTTGGAAACAGATAGTTCTTCCACTTATTTGCCAGGGGACCTTCATAAACTCACTGAGCCTGAGTTTCCTGATCTATAATATGGGAAAAAAAAAAAAAAAAAAAAAAAAAAAAACACCTGCTCTGTGGAGTTGTTACGAGGCTCAGGAAAGGTAATATGTGTGGAGTGCCTATGGAACACAGCAGGCACGCGTTCCCTCCTACTGGCAGTGCTATAAAGGGATTCAGTAGCTCCAATTAGGAGTTTAAATTTTTAAAGAAGTACCACATCGAAGTATTTTCATTATTGACAATGGTGATGTCAAAGTAACACTTTTTTTAAGTAACACTTTCACCAGGAATATGTCCATGTGTCCCTTTCATGGCATGTTTTTTCTCTACAGAGAAAATTGGACTGTGAGTTCTCTGAGGACAGGAATGTCTTGTTCACAATCCCATTCCTGCTCCTGGCATGCAGTAGGCTCTCATTCCATATCTGTTAACTGAATGACTTCTTTGGGTAAGATTCTCAAAAAACACTAAAGACTAAATAGAAAACAA